ACCCCTGAGCTAATTTAATGTATAGTATAAATAAAATAATTACATCATAATTATATTACAGAATTTACATACACAATTCTTTTCTTCTCTATTGAGGATAGGCTCTATAAATCAAGTATTCTAGAAAAATATTTTATAAATCTATGTATAATTACTTAACTCATATGCAATAAATAAGCTTGTTTAAAGTAATGTCAGTGTTTGTTAACATTTTGTGCAACTGAAAACTGTTGTATCATTTCATTGTGAATACTGTGGAGAAACTTGGGCAGTGCATGTGGATGGAGTAGTCCCACAGGTACAAAGACCAGACACTGAGTATCACACAGCACCTGGTGGTACAACATTGATGGCATAGTTCAAAATCAAAGGTACTAAATGATGAAGCTGGTGGCTAGTTAATGTGGAATGTCCACTCAGTGACCAGGGAAAATGTTGGTAGCACATGTGAGGAAATAGATAGTCCTGGGAGGGAAGTGATGAGTAATAGATAACTTTGAGGACTTATAACAGAGGACTGTTAGCGGGGACTTAATGCAGCATATAGAGAGTAGTAGAAGTCAGTTGAGGGAGGGAACTTAGTCGGAGAGCAGAACGAGTACCTTCGGTGGGTAGAGCAATTCAGTTGAGGGACCAACTTGGAAAGTAGAGAGACCAGCCATGGCAGTCAAGAGTTTAATACCAGAGACCTGATAGTGAATCATAGTATCAGGTGCAGAGAAACGAAATATAACCATCAACTTGTTGCTACCTGATTGTTGCAGTACAAGTGACGGAGGAAGCAAGTGTTATCATCCAAACAAAAGCATTTGAAATAGAACTAGAGAGAAAAGGTACTCTACAATATTTTTTAGTGGTTCTGTAAAATAAACTATACATTGTCTTTCACCCTGTAGGGTAGTTTTATCTGAGCTCTAATTGAGAAGCACTGGATTATGTGGGATTGTATTTGTTTACTTTATGAAAAGAACACATGCAAATTATTTACAACACTGTACATTGACACCCATCATTTTTCTTACGATGGGGAAAAAGCTCAATGAACAAAACTGGCCACGCTGTGCAAAATTTACTGTACAACTACTGAATCATATTACTATACACTGAATAAAACTGAATAGTGTATTCATAATTTAAACAAGAGCTGAATTATCACAATTTTCAGGACTCAGATTTGACCACTTTAATATTTTTAATCATGTATCACACATTTTGCCGCAGCGTTGTTAATGTCAGCATTATTGGCATTACTTCATTAAGAATTATTTGGTCGCTACAGTCAATCATACTTATAGTATGAAAAATTTACTACAATGTAATGTGATAAAAAAGCAAAGCAAAATATGAGATATAAAACAAGTGATAAGAGAAATGATTTGATTGGTTTACACTTAACAGCTGGTATGTGAAGGAAATACATTCGGTATTTTGGCCATTCTTTTAAATAGGTAATTGTATATTCACATTGTGAAGACAACACCTGGTTGCAGAAACCGTCAAGTTTTTTGTTATGTTTAACATCTTAAATAATGAATGCAGGAGAGGTCATCAGTCAATTGGTTTTTAGGAAACCAGCTATAAGGTAGTGAGATGAATCCCTGGTTGGGTTATACTGGTATTACATGTGTTAGGTGATTAATGATAAAAAAATACTGTTACTTCTTAGGTGAGTATCTATGTTTATGTAATAATGAAATTAGATTTGATGTAAAATTATTTTCCAAGTCATTTGACGAGTCAATCTTGTTTAATTAGGAGGCCAAAAGAAAGTGTTTCTATTTTCTTACCTCTAGTCAGTCATAGCACTTTCATTTTTATGGTAAGAAGATTAAAGTACTTCATTGTCAATTGTTCTTGAGTCCTGATGTCATGAGATGTCCCTAATGAGAAACTACCACAACATTTAAGTCACTGAGCTTTGCACATTTCCTTTTTGGATAAATTTCAATACTATAGTCACTTAAAATCTGAATTCATTAAATTCCTGTTCTTTTTATTTCCACATGTTTCTTAACTGCTTCAGAATTTAAAGGGAAAAATCACAAGGGACTGTAAAATAATGATTTTGGGGGTGGTGGGGGGGGGGGGGGGGTGTGGTGGGTACCTCGACCAGAGGAGATTTCAGGGCTCTGTGGCAAAAACTGAACAAACTTGAATGGAGAGCTCAAAGCAACCTTTGTTGCACATAAACATGTGTGCCATTTTCTACTGAGGAGAAAAAGCTTCCTGACCTTTGTAGTCTTTGCCGACGTGCAGTTTGCTCACTGTGGGAAGGAGCTCAATGGAGTCAACGATGGTCAACCTCTAATGTTGAGGTGACTCAAAACAAGAGAGCAGTTCAGCTGCACCCAGACCATGACCCAACAGGGAGTCAATGCCAGGCTTAAAACCCACTTTCATGAAGAGTAGCTCAACGGCTGAGCTTTAGGTGATACAAAGCTCTACTGAAACATGCCCAGACCGTGCAAAAGTGATCACTGGTGGAAACAAAGCCTCATTACTTAAACAAGGACTGAACACTGACCGACACAAAGCTACCAGCACAGACTCCACTCACATAGAGACCTTAACCACCAACTCTGTGGCCTTGCTGCCAAAATAGTAGATAATGTAATTGCAGAGCACCTAGCTCAGGAGGGTGGATCGGAAGGGTTAAATCCAGAAGACTGCAGCGATCAACTCATTCATGGCGAACTACACCTGATAAGGCCTGCCTGTGATATGCCGGCCACAGTTTAGGCTTGACCCTACAAGACATGAATTATTATTTTCAATATTACTTTGGTCGTCCCTTATGAAATTATGTTAGAAGAAATATTAAATGTGTGACATGATATTCAAGATATGGGTGCTGGGCGGTCGAGTGGTCTAAACTGAGGCAATCCCAAGCTAGTGGAATGGACTTCAATCCCCTGCAAAACTAAAACCATCCCCAGCACCTTGGGTGGATGGGACTCGTCAGCCTTGGGCGGCAACTCATCAAAGAGAAGACAAATTCTGACATCAAACCCAGAGATAAAGTCCCGTAGGCGGAAATGACACACTGAAAATTCAGACAACTCCTGCGACGTAGGGCGCATAAAGGGCAGTGAAACACACAAGACACAAATATGAGATACGGCATCGCCCGGATTGATAGCCATTAATAACACACCAATTGATTTAAAATGCTGACAAATAAATTTGTAACCTGGTGCTTACAAAAGAAAAAAATGACAGTAAATTCTACCACTAAGGATGAGGCAAAAAAAATGTGTTGCTCATTTATATTTTATCTTTTTGAATTGCTCTGAGCACAGTAAAATATGAAGGCATCTTAAAATAAACAAGGCTCTGAATGGGTTTACAAAATGACATCCAAATGAATGCTGAATTATAATTAGTCCAATAGAATTTTGTTACCAATTTTAGAAAACTGACATCCTCCATTAGGCTTGGAAGAGAGAGGTTATTTGTTTTTAATAGGGGGTATTTCACCACGCAATACTAACGTATTTTTAAAAGATCTAGTCATTGTATACAAATTCAAAACTATAAATGTAAGGAAACAACATTGAGAGAAAATTTTACAAATTTCCCTTTTCTTAAACTCTTAAGTTAATATTTCAAAAATGTTTTGAGATGCTTAAAGGACTGCCATATATTATATAACGAGAAATAGGGGGGTGGGTTTGCTTTTCTTTGCGTCACTTTGTCACTGTCAGTTGGACACACTATATTTCTACCCAGGCTCCTGATCATTGTGCTTACAATCTCGTAGAGTGGCCAATAGCACCACAAAGTCAATATTTGGCTGGCATTACTCTACCCCGTGACACATAAAGATCACATCTAAATTGTCAATGACTGAATCTTAAATTGAGATTAAATTAAATTGAAAAACTTTAAAAAGCAGCAGAAATTTTATTTGAAGTATGGAGTGAAGCAGTAGTTGATGTTTCCTGGGATTGCGGAGTAAAGAGGTAAAAAAAAGCACAATGATGTACAATATTCCTATCAGCATTGATTGGCTACGCATGATGTTGCTGGTCAGTAATTTCGACAGATAGCCAAATGTAACAATGAAGAATCTTGTAAAGAATGTATTGCACCCCATTCTTCTTGATGGCTTTATACCTCCTTCGGTATACAAACACATGAAATAACTACAGCTCAAGGAGATGACACAGGCTGCAGGTTTTTTCGTTTGTTTCAATGTCTGTCCATTGATGTAACATCACCACATGAACATATGATAGCTGCTTTCTGACTTTTTCTAACTTTATTGCAAATAGATTGTGAACTGTGTTCCAGCTGTACTTCCCATCACATTCCATGGTGGCACTGCACAAGAAGCAGGTTCATTCCCCAATCAAGACAAAAGATGTTCCAAAGACTCGGCAAACACAAATTGCAGCAAGAAGGCAACAGGAGCTAATGGCTTTAATTGTATCAGGTATTTTACGGAAATTAAATGTAAAATTAAAATTTGTGTTATATATATAATATGTGCAGCGTCCCTAACTATAAATTAAGACAGTCTGTGTCTGTAAGATAAAATCACGGCTTAATTCAAACTAGTTTTGTTATAAATGAGAAGGGAAAGGGGTTTAGGCCTGAGATCCCAATTAACTTTCAAGTTAAATAGATGAACAAATGGTCTATTTTAATATCTATACATTTCCTTTAAATAGACAGCAATGCACACAAAAATATATTTACATATAACTTTCAAAATTCAACAGTTGCAGCAGTACTGGTAATTAGTAGCACTCCATCAATAGCCGAAATTAAGCCCTATATTTTGTTCCAATTAAACCCTATATTTTACTCTATTTTAAACAACTACATATTTATCTTTAAATTTAAGTTATTCGTTTCAAATTGATTTTCACCAATAATAATGATAATAATGTAAAAGGTACCCGGTAATAAGCCTTCTTCACATATAATGAAAAATAATTTTCAAAATTTCATCAATAAAATGTTCTTAACCATATATTAAAAACAAGTTCACATGGCATGAAACAATTTACCTATGTTGTACATAGTGATACAATGCAAGAAACAATTTACCTATGTTGTAACTAGTAATACAAGGCATGTCATGATATACCTATGTTTTACCTAGTGATACAAGGCAAGCTGACAATGTGGCCCAATTGACTTCTATATCAAACATCAAGGCTGGCTTTGACTAAGATTGGAGTGGACAGTGGAAGCTACAAAATCCCATTCACAAATAGACATGTGCCTTTTACCTTCATTATGAAGTATATTTAATATTACACTCCCAAAATAAAGTTGTTAGTACTGAGTGGGTATGAAATTGAGAGTACTTTTTAGTTTATAGCCATGAACATTTTGAGGTCCACTGATATGCCACACTAGTTCCCCCCCCCCTCACACTTAACTTTCCCCATTAGACATGCCTAGTTTTTCTTTAACCAAAACCACAAATATTATGCCCATTGCAGAATCTTGCTGTATGTAAAATCAGTGAAACCACAGTTTGTTCAAATCAAATGACTGTACCGGTACAGTTTCCACAACTTAGGGAATAATGCAGGTAGGAAACACCACATAATGATCTAATCACAATAGTGTAGAGCGATTCTTAAAAAATACACATAAGCTCACAATAAGATATGTTGTCACTCAAGTATGTAAAATTGGTTTTAATATGATGCACACTTCATGAGGGAGGGAGGGCACTGTGCTAGGAGTTATCTCCTTCACAAAGAAAATGGATTACTTTTTGTGGCAGCGGGAGTGCTGAAAGCTGATGCCTGGATGTTGTCTGTAAGATAAGATCACGGCAAGCATTCTGTAAGGAACTCACTGGAAATAAATAAAATAATATTCAGTTATTAGCATCTCATCCAACTCATATTAAAATAACACCCCAAAGCATATATCCTCACAAAGATTTTTCCTCTGTCATACTCCAAACATGATCACAGATGTACAGTTACTTATTACTATGATACCGAAATTGTATCTCATAGCTAATAATCTTCATATCGCATCTATTTATAAATAAAGCAGAAATTACAGGACATAGTAATCCAATTCAGCATTGTTATATTGTATCATTGTTGAAGACATTAAAAAATTACATCCAATAAAATTTAAAATTTATTAGAAACTATAAAAAGAATAAAATCTTAAAAAACACTTATTAACCTTACATTTTTTTAATTTATTTGTATAATTAGGAACTTACACATAATAACCTACCTTTATAAAGTTCAATCAAGCGAATCTGTTTAGTTGTACCGTAAACATCCACAACAGCATATAATGGTGCTGAGTCCGCATTGAGTGGTATATGTTCATCACTTGGACCTTGATCTTCTCCATTTATTATAAAATGCATACGTGCAAAAAAGCCAGTCTCATCAGGGCAATACATGACTCCAATACGAGAGCCAACGTCTGTTGCAAGAATTAGTTTTTTGGCAGCTTTTAGAGAAGGTTCCTCTCCTTCGAAAGATGATTGGCCATTAACATTATTTACAAATGCTGATCGAAATAGTGAGTATGATGGCTGAAGCATAGACCGCCGGACCCGTCCACAAGAAGTGCTTATGACTTCACTATTACCAAGCACAGATGTATATGGCACTTGAAGAGTTGATACAGTTCTCTCAGGGCTGTGGTACTGGAGACGGTTCCTAGATTTCGTCACAGCTGACACCCAACATCGTCCTAGCACAGCAAGATCAGGCAGAGCATACTGTGGCAAGCCATTTTCTTGTTTGGCTGGATCCACCTGTAAAGAGATCTCATGACTCAATCATTGGATACTCATTGCATATGACTCCATAAAACTAGAACATATTTTGATGTAAATAGTAGAAATTTTCACTTATCATGATGATATGTACCACTACTTTTAACTTTGGCACAAAAACTTTGTAAAAAAATAGCAAAAAGTAAAAACTGTTTCAAGTTCATTTATACAATTATTCTTTATAGCATTATTAAAAATATTATTACCTCTGTAAGTCCAATTCTCATATGACCACTCCATCCTCGCTCAGTTTTCTCTATTTCCACAAGAAATATTTCCCCAGGTTGTAAAGGTTTTTCACTAAAGACCAGAGCATGAGCAAAACTAACTTCTCTCAGAGCCACTGTGTTATTCTGAAGGAGTCGAATATTTTGACCGTGAGATTTATGGAACCTCCTCACAGGCATCTCCTCGAGATATCTGAATTTAAAATTGCATGAATAAATATTAATGTGTTTTCTTTGGACTTAACACAATCATAATGCAGTAATTTGTCGAAAAAGAAGAAAACATACAAAATTTTAGTTAATTAATTAGTAGAAGTAGGGTATGATCAAAGACTGTGGACTGGTGTTCTAGACTAGTTTAAAGAGAGTGCAGTGACATCCATAATAACCACTACAGTTTGTCAAAATGACAAATGCTTATCAAAAACCTACATTAAAAAGGCATAATCATAATAATAATTTGAACTTTAATTTGGGTATATCAATTTTTATTATCATTTACATTGAAGATAGAGCTACATCATATATTATCAACATTTTTATTTTATTTTTATTAACTTTTTCGACAAATGATTTGTGTGACAAAGTTGTAAATAATGTAAATTGCCATTCTTTACTTTATAATGTGTAGGCCTACACTATATATTATATATCCAATGGAATTTGTGATCAGACGAAATTTGTAATCAGACATTCATTTAGTTAATAGTGGCGTTTTTAAGTTAGTCGTGAGTCTTCATCACCTACTCTTCACCTTCATTTGTACAAAAATTCACTGAACAGTGACCGAACCACTCCGTCTCGGTGTGTTTAGTAGTTTAGTTTTTTTTACACTTTTGGCCTTCCTTTAATTTTGTGGCCTAACATAAAAATGAAACTGTTCTTTGCATTTGAATAAAACACACCTACACAATAATCTATGTGTATAAGACGAAATTCGAAACATAACTAAACATATATATACATTTAAAAAAAAAAAAAACAACAAGAAATTAGGAATTCGTTTGAAAAAGCTGCTTCTGACCGATCAAATCCTGTCTGACATTTCCATCTGCATATACTAAATTTAAAGCCGGCCAGATTTTTTCTCTCTGTTGCAATGCCAATAAAGAGTTGGCCACATTAGCAATGAACATTATTCTAATGAATGAGCCTAGTACAGAACTATTTATTAGCATATTAGCCTTGTTAAAGGGGCAAAAATCGCCGCACTCATAAAATAATGATTATTTGGATTACTTTTTAATGAGTTTACATTTCATGCTTTTAGCTCAAAACGATAAAATATTGACTAATACAGCTAATAATATTAATTATAAATTCATGTTTTAAAAATTAATAGGTTCAAGTAATACACGCAGTGTTTCATTATATAAAACTAGAATATATGACCCAATGTTATCGAGATAGACTAATAATTAATTATAATGGTAGGTCCTTTGCGATAATTTCTATCTGCTATTGCAAAAACTCATCACAATTCCTAACTTTAAAAAAGAATTATTTATGTAATGATATTTACGTTTCTAACAACATTAAGTTTTGAGAAGTATTTATAAGCTACTTATTATACGGCTACCTTACTCCCTTTCACGCCCCTACACTACTTTTTTTTCTCTAAACATGATCTTAAATTACCCAATTTAAATTATCTCTAATTATATCACTTTTGTCACTAAAGAAGTTAATTGAGGGACACTCTACGCTAGAGAAATACTTAAGATTTACCCCTTTTCATGCCCTTGAACAACAACTTTATTTTCTAAGAATTGTGAAAATATAATCTCAAATTTACAGCAAAAATTATATATATGATATAAATATATTTTATATTAAAGGAATTTGATATATTGATATCTTCATCAAAAATGTAAACAAACATTTGGCTTGGTTTTTTTTTTAATCATACAATATTAGAAAATCGTAAAACAAAGAATTCTTTTATATAAAGAAGAATCTCGCTGCCGCTTTTCACGTCTATAAAAGACTTGAGTGTCTTTTTTTTTTTCGAAGTGGCTATTCGTACCCGGGCACCAGAAGTGAGAGGTTGGGATTTAAAAACTATAAATTTATTGGTGGGTTTGTAAGACAAAATGATGTATCAAATGAAAGATAATTGAATTGACTATATGTGTGTAAACTTAATTCTTCAGTTTAACTAAAATAAGCTCCTACAAATGACATCCAAAATGGGCCTAGACACCCAGCGCCGCCATTGGCACCCGGGTAAAACACACTAAAAGTAAAAACCAAAATATATTTTCATTTTTTAAAGCAAATTAGGCTATAACCCATCTCCATTTTTCAAAATAAAATTTTCAAGTGTATAAAATTATTGGGTTTTGATATTCATGGGTATACTTATGAATGTAAATATACCTAAGTTTTGTTAACGCTATTGATTTTCTTAATTGGTAAACATATGTTTATTTGTAAAAAAAAAAAAAAAAAAAAAAAAAAAAAAAAAAAAAAAAAAAAAAAAAAAAAAATGAGAATGTAACATATATTTTTTCCACAAATGTAATACTATAGGATTTAAATATATTGTCATCCACGTAAAAATGCACACATCCTACTTCCTACCTCCGATATGTTTGTACCCAAGAAAGTTAATTATTTATCAAATTCATTCCTTTATTTTGAGACGTATCTTATGCTGTCTGGGGCAAAGTGATCCACCCCCCTCCTTCCCCCGATTTAAATAAAATTAATGACATCTTCCACCGGACTGTAGTCCCTTCCGTACCCAAACTAACAGATTTTGCATGTCATATGGTTTGTTTTATTTGGATGAGTTATAAGTGGATTAATGAATGCTATGGAGTTTCGCTGCACTGATTGACTTACATGACATTTTCTTATTGAAAGTATATTTAAAGGTTAAGTTTTTATTTTCGCTTTAAATTTTTAAAAGTATATTTTTTGGAATTTTAAAAAGTAAAAACTCATTAAAGGTTAAAAATATAAAGCTAAAATGTTTGTGTGTTTTATTAACAGTTCCAAAAGCAATCAATTATATTTTTAATTTTACTTTTAAGAAGGGGAAAATACAACATCATTTTTGTAACGCGCGGTTATTAAATCAAAGAATAGGCGATTCGTGCTATTGCGTCATTTGCGCTTTTATTTAGAAAAAACAATTTTAATTTGCTTTCGCAATATTAACAACGCACTAAAAACCGCACTAAAAACAACTGATGTTTGAGTTTTTAATTTAAATGTATTTGTAATTTGTAATAATAATACTTAAACTTTTACTAAAATAAAAATGGATATGTAAATATTTTTTTTAGCATTTATTTAAAATTGTTTGATTTCCGTAAAATAATAGAAAATAACTATGGTCGTTTGAGATTTCGAACGTATTTATTTATTTTTTTTCGGTTCTTTGCCGTTACGGTCAGCGTAGCTCATTCTTATATACTAGTGAGAATCCGGCATGCATTGCAATGCCACTCAAAGAAAAAAAAGTGTTTGTGTTTTTATTACGTTTTTGAAGTACGGTAATTTTAAAATTGGAATTTTTGTTTCCGTCTGGTGCGTACACAAATAAATTAGGAGGTTTTTCGACGCGTGATCAGGCAACATACAGCTGTCCAAGTGAGAAGCATGGCTTTTCCAATTTTAGCCCACACACTTGTAGCGATTGATCCACCCATGCAGTAGCTCTGTTTGAAATTATATTTATATAGCCACATAATATAAAAATAATAAGTAAGGCCCCCGGCCCCAAACGCTAAATTGTTAAATGGTTGTACAAATTCAGAAACCTAGGCTACTTATCATGTCACACACAAACTGAAATGTCGCTTGTATTTGATTTAATTCTACCCACCCATGCTTTGTTTTCAATTATATTCGTAAAGCTCCTATTAGAAAAAAAAATAATTAAGGGCCCCGGCCCCAAAAGGAATATTTCAAAATGAATAACCTAATTAAGAAACCTTTGCGGGCGTTTGCATAAAAACTTAGCAAAGTTTTTTCGCAATCGTATGAATGGTATAGGAACGCATACGGGACATTCATACATACATTACATTAATTTTTATATATGTATATATATAATTTACCGAATGAAAGATACCTTTTGCACAACTATTCAAGGAAGCGTTCTATCTATCGGTCTGTCTCTCTGTCTGTCGTCAAATGTTGTCACTCAAGAGTTAGTTGAGTAGTAATAGGAGCGAGTGACACGTTAGTCGAGAGAGTAGTGTAGAGTAGAGACCTTCATCAAATGGCTCGGCCTTCTTGCGTTGTCTAGGGTGTATGAATCTCTCTAAAAAAACAAAAGGTCCGGTGCAACAATATAATAATTTATTGGATACTTTACTAAACAGGATACTGCTATTCAATATTATACTATAGCGTGTGGAACACACATCAGTCAAACTACAAACTATCCACTCTCCCAGCACTACTGTCTCGACATTTGACGACTAACAATTCTTCTCTTACACTTCTACCTTTCTTCTCTGACCCTAGCGAACACACATCCTTTTTATAATCCCACACACACAACTCAGCCTACACTAACGTTCCACACCACGGACTAACTTCACGCTCTGACGTCACGATCAACAACTCACAAAACACTCTCACGATTCACGACTCCCCCTACCCAACATTCACAACAAACTAGCTCACAACACCTGGCAAAGTAACCAACCCCTCCCCCACCCAGATTGAAATAAATTCAGAAACATCTTCTACCGGATTGTTTGATGTGATTTGATTTGATATTTATATCGCTCTGGTATCCCTGCCACTTTAGCATGCTCACTGTGCTCTGGTATCCCTGCCACTTTAGCATGCTCACTGTGCTCTGGTATCCCTGCCACTTTAGCATGCTCACTGTGCTCTGGTATCCCTGCCACTTTAGCATGCTCACTGTGCTCTGGTATCCATGCCACTTTAACATGCTCACTGTGCTCTGGTATCCCTGCCACTTTAGCATGCTCACTGTGCTCTGGTATCCCTGCCACTTTAGCATGCTCACTGTGCTCTGGTATCCCTGCCACTTTAGCATGCTCACTGTGCTCTGGTATCCCTGCCACTTTAGCATGCTCACTGTGCTCTGGTATCCCTGCCACTTTAGCATGCTCACTGTGCTCTGGTATCCCTGCCACTTTAGCATGCTCACTGTGCTCTGGTATCCCTGCCACTTTAGCATGCTCACTGTGCTCTGGTATCCCTGCCACTTTAGCATGCTCACTGTGCTCTGGTATCCCTGCCACTTTAGCATGCTCACTGTGCTCTGGTATCCCTGCCACTTTAGCATGCTCACTGTGCTCTGGTATCCCTGCCACTTTAGCATGCTCACTGTGCTCTGGTATCCCTGCCACTTTAGCATGCTCACTGTGCTCTGGTATCCCTGCCACTTTAGCATGCTCACTGTGCTCTGGTATCCCTGCCACTTTAGCATGCTCACTGTGCTCTGGTATCCCTGCCACTTTAGCATGCTCACTGTGCTCTGGTATCCCTGCCACTTTAGCATGCTCACTGTGCTCTGGTATCCATGCCACTTTAGCATGCTCACTGTGCTCTGGTATCCCTGCCACTTTAGCATGCTCACTGTGCTCTGGTATCCATGCCACTTTAGCATGCTCACTGTGCTCTGGTATCCCTGCCCCTTTAGCATGCTCACTGTGCTCTGGTATCCCTGCCACTTTAGCATGCTCACTGTGCTCTGGTATCCCTGCCACTTTAGCATGCTCACTGTGCTCTGGTATCCCTGCCACTTTAGCATGCTCACTGTGCTCTGGTATCCCTGCCACTTTAGCATGCTCACTGTGCTCTGGTATCCCTGCCACTTTAACATGCTCACTGTGCTCTGGTATCCCTGCCACTTTAGCATGCTCACTGTGCTCTGGTATCCCTGCCACTTTAGCATGCTCACTGTGCTCTGGTATCCCTGCCACTTTAGCATGCTCACTGTGCTCTGGTATCCCTGCCACTTTAGCATGCTCACTGTGCTCTGGTATCCCTGCCACTTTAGCATGCTCACTGTGCTCTGGTATCCCTGCCACTTTAGCATGCTCACTGTGCTCTGGTATCCCTGCCACTTTA